AATAAAAAAAGCTTACAACAAAGACTTTAAATATTACGGAAATCTTTCTGGATTTCATGATCTGTAGTTTATGCCAGAGAGTCCCTTGATGATAGAAGTACAGATGAATCTCCAGCGGACTCTGCTAGATTTGCTCCGAAGTAGAATAGAACCTCAGCATCGGCGCTCCGAATCGAGCAACAACCATTCTATTCCTTACATCGTCTAATATAGCATGGTTTAAGGAATTAGAATAAAAAACTCCAGTAGGATTTCACCCATAAAGGCTTCGCTTTTCTGTTAATCTTAAAAAATATAACGTCAATTAATGCCAAAGAAACCTCCAATACAGTTGGGCGCCAGGACTTTGTGGCTGCGGTTGTACTGCATTTCAAATATGCGTTAATAGTATACCATTACTTTTCCATTGGCTTCTCTGGATGGTACCACAGTGATCCATCGATTCTCAGTGCAACATTGTATAAATTTTAAAACTCTTAAAATATTCATTAAATTTTTCCATCTAAGAGTTTTGAATGATGAATAATAATAAATTGCATAAAATAACTATGAAAATTTATTCATTCTATTCGAATAAAATAAGAATATATAATTCGAATTATGGCTTCTACGTATTCCGTGAGGATTATCGTGGAATCGGAGCGCCTATGCTAGAATTCTATTCCTCACGAGTAGATCTGCCTAAAAATTCGGGTGATGCTGGCGACTCATCTGTACCGATACCAGCTCAACGAATCTAACCCACTAATGGCGGGGATTCTCGAAAAAACACCTCCTCTTCAACTCTTTAACTACCTTAGACTGAGTTTTAGCCTGTAACCTGTTTTCCTTTGTCGTTAAACACCTTTCCTTGTTTCCTTTCCTTTTAACATCGTCATGAATCGTTTAAGACTTTTTCAATTATTAAAACCCATAATACTTTTGCCTTATAAAGAAAGAACTCAGTACTATTTTTACTTTCGCTTAGTCGGATTAAATTAATTTTTTTTTGCTAGGCAGTCATTTAACGATAGAAGTATAGATGGATCACTCGTAAGTGCCACTCGAATTTCTTAAAAAACAGGTTCACCGCTAACGTCTTCGTATTGTACTTCTTTTTATTTCCCTTAAGTACTTTTATCTCTCCTTTAATATTCTCCGAATATTATTTTAAATGCGATCATATTCGTATATTATCAATTTATTCTTATCATTGCCTTATCAGTATTTTAATTTTATCATTGTCATATACAGTAAGATTTTGCTGGAATATTAAGAAACAAGCTAAGGTGAGGTTTTTCCATAGGACTTCCATAGAATTTTCTTGTTGATCCATACAGTAAATTTTCTATATCAATATTAATATATCAATATTATGCCGAAATCCACTACAGACCACGAAATCCTGATGGATTTTCGGAAAATAACCATTAAAAAATCAGTCCATTCCATTCAAATAAGATGATAAGATAAGATAAGAATATACAATTCGAATTATGGCTCCTACACATCCCGTGAGGATCACTGTGGACCCCAAAGTGAATCCATAGAAGCTACTTTAATGACCACTGCAGTTAATTATGTATGCAATAGATCAATAGATAGAATTCGGTTGTTGTCCTTAATTCGTTTTTCTTTTAAATAATTGCTTTGAAAATTCAAAGATAATTAATTATTTGTGGTTTTTCAATGTTCACTAATTTATTTTTATCATTGCCTTATCACTACTTTAATTTTATTCTACTCGTCTGAACACTGCATATCAATATTTTTGTCGCTATCTTATCAGTGTTTAACTTTTATCACTATCTTACATTGTAAATCCTCTAGAAAAAGAATTTAAATTCTCTATTTCCATTAATTTGGTTCAATGTGTTTTGTTATTCTTATTTTAGAAGCCTTTCAAAAATCCGAGTGGTACTATCCACTCATCGTTATTTCTATTATTAACCGATCTCCTAAAATAAAATTTAATTAGCATACGATAAGTCAGACAATTTCTTAAGCAATTAAAAAATGGTCTCATGAAAAAAAAAAAATCCTCTCTTTCATATCTCTAAATTATAACTAATTTTGAAATAATAAATATTATTTTTATTAAATATTTAGTATTAATTTAATATTTGATATTAATAATAATAAATATTATTTTTATTAAATATTTAGTATTAATTTAATATTTAATTTAATATTAATAATAATAAATATTTAATAATAATAACAATAACAATAATAACAAAACAATATTAATAACAATATTAAATATTTAATATAAATATTTATTATTAAATAATATTTCATAAAAAATATTTTTTCAATTTTTCCGATAAAAATTTGCTTTTTTTCTCACTAAAAATTTCACTGAATCACATTTTCGTTAAAAAATATTTTTCTTTCTTTTAATATTATAAAATATTCCATTCGTTTTTTTTATTAAAAATAGGAAAGGAAAATAAAAAAAATCCGTCAATTTCAATTTTTCACCTGTCCGTCATTTCCTCTAACATAACCAATTAATCAAATTTCTTTTCACCAATTTTCTTCGATTTATTTTTATTGACAGACTTGAAAAAAAGAATGCGGCCGCGACCGCGTTTTTTCCTTTCGCACTCTTTTTGTTTTCTTTAATTAAATTTAATTTAATTTTCTTTAATTATAATTAATTTATTTATAATTATAATTTTTATTATTATTTTTTAAATAATTAAAAAATGGAAAGATAATAGAAAAATTGAAAACAAACAAATAAAATGCAATATAAAAAAACTTAAAAACCTAATTTTGAAATAATAAATATTATTTATATATTATTTTTATTAAATATTTAGTATTAATTTAATATTTAATACGAATAATAATAAACATATTTAATATTTAATATTAACAATAATAACAATAAACATAAACGATAATAAATTATTTAATAATAATAAATATCTAATATAAATATTTAATATTAAATAAAATTTTATAAAAAATATTTTTCAATTTTTCCAATGAAAATAAAAAACTTATTAAAAATAAAATATAATATGTCAAAAATAAAATAAAAAATTAAAATTTTAAAAAATTATTAAAAATTTATTTTAATAGTTTATTAAAAATAACAAATAAATCGAAAGAATATTTTAAGAAAATTAAATGGAAATTTATTATTTTTATAACTCTTATTATCGCAGAGTATTAATTATTACTAATTACTTATTATTTTTATTATTATTTATTATTTATTTATTTGTATTAATTATTAATTATCGTTCTCATTTTGTAAATTATTTATTATTATAATTAAATTAATTATTTATTATTGTCATTATTGATTATTTAATATTGTTAAATAATATTGAATATTTTTTATATCAAATATTAAATATTTTTACTAAAAACATTAAAAATAAAAAAAAAATATGCAATTGATCGATTAATTAAATAATTAACGCATTAAAAAAAAAAACTAATGGTAACCAACGGTAGTTATGTTATCAATAATAATACTTAATAATGATATCAATTATTATTTATTATTGTTAAATATTTATTAATTATATTTATTTTATTATTTATTAGATTACTTATTCAGAATTATTAATATTTGTTACATTATACTATTATTATTTGTTACTATTTGTTTTTTTTTTCTGTTGTTATTTACCATCACTGATTAATTATTATTAATTGTCATTAAATATTTATTATTTTGTTGTTTTTTGTTAATTTTTCTTTTATTATTATTTTATTAATATAACTCATTATTATCAACAAATTACAAATAAATCATTATCAGTTATCACTTATTACCGTTGATATTGTCATTTATTATCATTTATTATTGCTTTATTTCTATTAATATTGGTGTAGTTATCACTGCACTTATCAGTTATCAGTTGATTTTTTCATTACCAGTTAATTAATGTCTGGAACGCTTTTTTTTTGTTTCTTTAAAATTATTATTGCTTTTCCTTTCTTTTTTTTTTTCAAATGAAAATCGAAAAGTATTTGTTTCATTTTTTTTTTCTAACCAATTTTAAATTATTGTCTAGCTTATCGATTGATTTTTCGGTCGATAATGAGAGTTAATCGATAAGTCTAAATGGTAAGAATAGAAGTATGCTTGTAAGAAGAACGGCGACAAAAAAAACGGTCGCAAAAATACATTGAAGAGGAAGAGAGAGAGAGAGAGACGAATACACATACAATGCACACAGACATAAATTGAGGAGGCTTAGCTTATCGATTTTTCCTACTGCAAATAATTATAATCGTCGCTCGTCACCCGCTATATTTTTCATTTTATTTCTTGCAAAGTTGTATTATTTACAATTATAATCCATATTTATAAAAATATTTTTTAATTGTCCCTGATCTTAATAGGTCGAAATAGTCGAGTACCATGGGTTTTGACTTTTTGTCTCTAGCAGGAATAGACCTGTCAGTTCAGTTGGTACTAGGTTACCAGGTCGAGACAACCAAGTATCATAAATTTTTTTATTTTTGGCAGGGATTAACCGAACCTATTAGTCTGGATGGTACTAAGAGCGATCCGCTTGTATTTTTATCGTTAAGAATAGTCTCAGTTTCTTATTTTTTTCGCAATTAGTTTATCTATAAATCGATTATTTTTATGCGAATTCTCGAAAAAATAATAAATCGTATTTAAAATTAATTGATCATAAAATAAATTAATTAAGGTGTTAAAATGAAAGAAGGTGAAGGGGAATTAGCGGCTGCGGCCGCTACAAATATTTCGTCAATTCACCAGATGTCACCTTCATCCGATATTAATCAACATTCAAATAAGGTTCATTGCCTTTTCATGTTATTTTAATTAAGTCGATTTCTAATTTTGTAGGACTCTATCTGTCTGTCAGCTCGAGTGGTACCATAAATCATTAAAATATTCATTTATTTTTTGAAAACCAGGCAAGCAGGGAGCAAATGCCATGTGCTTGTATTAATAATAACAGTTAAAATAATAAAATTAGTTACAAAAAAAAAAAAATTTCTTTAAGGGCGAAAATAGTGCAAATTTTTTACGTGCAGCTCGTGCTGGAAGTCTTGAACGTGTTCTTGAATTACTGCGTTCTGGAACAGATATTAATACAAGTAATGCAAATGGTTTAAATGCTTTACATCTTGCATCAAAAGAAGGACATGTTGATGTAGTTCGTGAACTTTTAAAGAGAAAAGCATTTGTCGATGCTGCAACTAAGGTTCGTCGTTTTTTTTTCCTTTTTCTGTCATTCTATTTTTCTGTCATTCTGTCATTCTTTTTTTATGGCCTTTTGAATTTAAACATTCTTAAGACATTCATCATTTTTTAGAATCTTTTTTTGAAAATTTCCTGTTAATAAGATTTTTTTTTTAAATGCAGAAAGGTAATACGGCGTTACATATCGCATCGCTGGCCGGACAAGAGCTCATTGTGATTATACTTGTTGAGAATGGTGCAAATGTGAATGTGCAGTCATTGAATGGATTTACTCCTTTATATATGGCAGCACAAGAAAATCACGAATCAGTCGTTCGATATTTACTTGCACATGGCGCAAATCAAGCTCTCGCCACTGAGGTATATTTTTCTTCTTTTTTTTATTCTGTTTTTTCAAAATTTAGAAAAATAAATAAATTTTTATAAATTTTTAGAATTATTTTATTTTTCCAATTCTAATTAAAATAATTTTAAGCGAGTGTCAATATTTAAAATAATAAAATATAATAATTAAATTAAAATAAAAATTAAAACAATTTTTTTTGAAAAATAATCATACTATATTAAATCAATTTAAAATGAGAATTTCATATAAAATTAATCAAAAAGATTTATTTCGTTTAAATGTCTAAATGCATAATTATAACAATTATTTATATTCTTTCTAGGATGGTTTTACACCATTAGCAGTTGCTTTACAACAAGGACACGATCGAGTTGTAGCGTTATTACTAGAAAATGATACAAGGGGAAAAGTTCGTTTACCAGCTTTACATATTGCTGCTAAAAAGGACGATATAAAAGCTGCCACACTTTTATTACAAGTAATACTTTTTTTTTCAGAATTCTTTTTTTTTTCATTTTTATTCATTATTATTTTCTTTGACTGAATAAAAAAATATTTTAGATTTTATTTTAAAATTGAATTGCTTGTCCTTTTGAATTTTAGGAATGTCATTGAAATTTTTTTGAAATTTAGAGAAGCAATTTTCATATAATAACGTCGAATTAAAAAATAAATATTTTGATTTGAAAGTTGCTAATAGAAATGTAAAATGATTTTCATCAGCCATTCGAATTTCATTTTTAATAATGAAAATTTTGCTCTTGTGAAGCCGAATCGAACTTTTTATTTTCCATTTTTATTCTATTTTCGTTAGATAATTTTTTTTTGGAAAATTTTCTTTAAAAAATTTTTAAAAAAAATAAAAATTTTTTTCTCTAAAAAGTCGTCTCTTTTATGTTTCTATAAAGTTGCAATTATAAATTATATTTTTTAATTATTTATAAGTAAAGAAATAATAAATGAATTAATAAATAAAATAAAAAATAAATAATTTTTTTTGCAGAATGAACATAATGCGGATGTCACATCAAAGAGTGGTTTTACTCCGTTACATATTGCTGCACATTATGGTAATGAAAATGTTGCACAATTGCTTCTCGAAAAAGGAGCCAATGTTAATTATCAAGCTAGGCATAATATAAGGTGAAGTATATTTTATTTTTTTCTTATTTTTAGAAATATGCATCATCCATTTCCTTGTAGAGATATTATTATCGATAATTTTCCTTGTTTTATATAGGTGATCTTATTTGAAAAATTTAATCAAGTCAATCCTGTCAACTAACAGATTTCTTCTATGTCTTCTCTCAAACAAAAGTACTATCCAACAATTTTATGAATTTTTAAAATTAAAATTGATTTGTTCAGATTAATCAGCATTCTCGTTTATGAAAATTGAATAGACTAGAAAATTGCGAAAATAAAATTAGCATTTAAAATGATCATTTTTAGTCCTTTACATGTAGCAACAAAATGGGGTCGTGCTAATATGGTTTCACTTCTTTTGGCTCATGGGGCTATTATCGATTGTCGAACACGAGATTTGCTGACGCCATTACATTGTGCAGCTCGTTCTGGTCATGAACAAGTTGTTGATCTTTTACTTGAGAAAGGAGCACCGATTAACGCAAAAACTAAGGTAGAATGATAAAAAAAGCTAATAAAAGTTGATTTATGGGAATCTTTTAGAAACTTTTGTTTATAAAGATAATTATGAAGGAGGTTTTGGAAGCTATTATATAAATACATAAAAAAGATATTTGAAATAAGAATGTTTTTTTAAAGAATGGGCTGGCTCCATTGCATATGGCTGCTCAAGGTGATCATGTCGATAGTGCTCGAATTCTTTTATATCATCGTGCTCCAGTTGATGATATTACTGTCGATTATCTAACACCTCTTCATGTTGCGGCTCATTGTGGTCATGTGCGTGTTGCTAAACTTTTATTGGATCGTAACGCTGATCCTAATGCCCGGGCTTTAAACGGATTTACACCACTTCATATCGCATGCAAAAAGAACCGAATCAAAGTAAATCTTTACTCCTACTTTTGTTAATATTTTACTTCATATTTATCCAAAAGTTAATTTTCATGAATACATGAATGATTACTTTTTAGGTTGTTGAATTACTTTTGAAATATCATGCTGCTATTGAAGCAACTACCGAATCTGGATTGTCACCACTGCATGTTGCTGCATTTATGGGTGCTATAAATATCGTTATATATCTTCTACAACAGGTTTTCCTATTTGTAATTTTTTAAAAGAAAGGAAATTTTTAAAATTCAAATTTTTTATCTATTAAATAAATGTTAAGGGAGCGAATGTGGATGTTGCCACTGTGCGCGGAGAAACACCTTTACATCTTGCTGCCAGAGCGAACCAAACTGATATTGTTCGAGTTCTCGTTCGTAATGGTGCTAAGGTTGCTAATATATAATTTAGAATTTCAGCTAGAAATCCGTAAAAATAATTATTTTACTCTACTATACTATATATTTGATATGTTCATAGATATTTTTATTTTTATATGATATTTCATCAATATTTTTGTCAGGTCGATGCAACAGCTCGTGAATTACAAACTCCCTTACATATAGCGTCACGTTTGGGTAACACAGACATCGTTGTTTTACTTTTACAAGCATCTGCATCACCAAATGCAGCTACTCGTGATCAGTATACACCTTTGCATATTGCGGCTAAGGTAGGTTCAATTGTTTTTATTTTTTATTTTCTTATTAATTTTTTCAATTATTTCACATTTTTTAAAATCATTTCTTATCCTCTCATTTGTGGCTATTTTCTTGCAGCTATCTTAATTTCTTTCATTTTTTACGGAGCTTTTTTCTTAAATATTTATATATTAAGTCTTTATTAAGTTAAATCTTTTTTATTATATCCAATATCATTTATCAATTTTTAGAATTTTATTGTAATTTATATTTCATCCCTTTGCTATCCCATAATTTTTTTCATAAGATTCTCTTGCATTTTAGATTTTGGTATTTCAAAATTTCTTAATTTTCAGTCGATTCAGTCGATTCGAATTTTTTAACTTTTTTTATCCTAAATATTTTTATAAATATTTTATCCTAAATAATACAGTTAGCAAATTTATCTCTTTAGTTATGGAAACAATAAATTACGTTCTGTCGAATGATCTTCATGTATAAATTTTGATGATTATACATGAATATTTTATCAGATTTTATTGATTTTTGTTTTAAGTATTAAATATCAAATATTAAAATTCATGGTCCATTAGTTTTTTATTAAAGTGGTTACAATTATAATCGATTGGTGATTGGTATAGTGATTTTAATTTATAAACTTGGTTTTTTGGTTATTAGAATGCGATATTTTCGTCAGAGGATCAATGTATAGAAATACAAGGGGAAACGCGGCACCATATGCAGATTTTTTGACTGACAATTTATTTATGACAAGAGAAGAGACCATATTTCAGTCCATGGTACTAAAATTATAATCTAAAGAACATACCATTCAGTCAGACAATTATTATAATTATTATGCCGAGAGTCACCATTAATTATTTATTTATAGGGTTTATGAGGTATTAATTTTTTCGATGGAATTATTTTATTATTTTTCTATTTCTCAACGCCACTTTTTATTTTTGATTTTGATTTTCTCGTTTTTTTAATTATTGATTTAAAAAATGAAAGGAAATGAAATTTGTCATCATTGTCAGCTCAAATTTTTTTAGATTTATTTTTTTCAAAAGAAATATTTCATTTTTAAAGATTTTTATTATATATTGTCAGTTTATTATATATTGTCTTTTGTTTTTTATAGTATTTATGATCAAAAGGTTTACATTGAAATATTGAAAAATTTATATTGAAATATTGGTGAAATTATGGATAAATTTCATATATATAATAATTTCATCTTAAAAAATAATTATTGAAAAGATGAAAATTTAATAATTTGAATTTTTATTATTTTCTATTTAAAATAGAACTTAACTTTTATTTTAACTTATTTTAATTTTTTTATTTCGTTATAACTTTTTATTTTAATTTGTTAATTAGTTTTTATTTATTTTTTATTTATTTAGTTTTTATTTTTTTATTTAATTTTAATTTTAATTTTATTTTAATTTATTTTAATTTTCTTCATAAATTTTAATTAATTGAAAAAAGGCTCCAAAATTAAAATAACTTCAATAATAAGATAATAAAAATAAGGATAAGAATAAATGATATTTTAAATAATAAAATATTAAAAAAATAAGTTAGTATAACAGATGTTATTTTCTCTTTTCCTATTTTGCAATGTCTGGTTTTCAGCTATATTAGTAATACTTCAAAAGTCATTTTAGCTCTTATTTTTTAGCTCTTATTTTCTTTAAAGTTATTATTTGTCTGTTTTTTCTTTTTCTATTCTAAAAAGTAAAAGTTATTTATTAGATAAATAAATTGTCAATCATTCAAAATATATATAGCATTTCAAAAAGAATAGAAAATTTATTTTTAAATTTTTTGTTTCATAAATTTCCCAATAGTCCCAATAATTTTTGAAAATTAAATTTTAAATTGAATTAAATTTTAAATTAAATTAAATTTTAAATCAAATTTTTATTTTTTCATTTTTTTCCTAATTTATAGATTCGTTTTTTTTATAAGTAATTTAGAATATGAAGTAATTTAATAAATGATATCATTCAAGGAACGTTTCTAGTACATAAAATCTTTTTTCATTTTCATTTCATTTTTTTAAAGATGTATTTGGAATACGATTTGTGCTGATTTTAGGAAGGGCAAGATGAAGTAGCGGCAATATTGTTGGATCATGGAGCGCAAAAGACGCCTTTAACAAGGAAAGGATTTACACCGTTACATTTGGCTGCAAAATATGGTAATTTGTCGGTTGCAAAATTATTGCTTGAAAGAGGTACTCCTGTTGACATCGAAGGCAAAAATCAGGTTTTTTATTTTATTAAATTGAAGTGAATATGGCTTTTCGTTTATTAATAATGTGCTGCTTTTCACACGAAAATGTTTTTACATTTTTTTACGTTTATAAAAAGTATAGCTGCAGATTATAAATCGTTGAAAGTAAACTGCCACCTTCTTTCTGTTCCTACAACGGACATTTGTCATTTTTTGATAATTTATCATATATTAACAATTGATAGTAAAACAACAATAGTTTAGGTAACACCACTGCACGTTTCGGCACATTATAATAATGATAAAGTAGCGTTGTTATTGCTTGAAAATGGTGCATCTGCTCAAGCGGCTGCTAAAAATGGTTATACTCCATTACATATTGCTGCAAAGAAAAATCAAATGGATATTGCTAGTACCCTTCTTCATTATAAAGTTTGTTACTATATTTTTATTATATTTTTATATTTTGATTTTTTTTCTATTTTTCTTAGGTTTTTTCTCATAATAATGTTTTTTATAGATTTTTGGTTTCAAGTTTTGGTATTCTGTTGTGTATCTTTTTTCTCATTTTATCGATAAAATTTTAGCTGGGCAGAAAATTTTTTATTCGAAATTGGAGAAACTAAAAAATTAATTTAAAAAAATGAAAATTGCTTTATTTTGTCGTAAGAGTAATGCTTAAAATAAAATATTTTCTTTAAGGCTGATGTAAATTCGGAAAGTAAAGCAGGTTTTTCACCACTCCATTTGGCAGCTCAGGAGGGCCATAGAGAGATGTGTGCATTGCTTATTGAAAATGGTGCAAAGGTATGTATGATTTTAGAGAAGATTTTTACTTTAGTGACATTTTCCTCTTCAATAATTTTATTAATTGAAGGTTGGAGCACAAGCGAAAAATGGACTTACTCCAATGCATCTTTGTGCACAAGAAGATCGAGTTAATGTAGCTGAAGAACTTGTTCATGAGAATGCTTCCATCGATCCACAGACCAAAGCCGGATACACTCCACTGCATGTTGCTTGCCACTTTGGTTAGTTGTTTTTTTAACAGCGCCTTTATAGATTAGGCATTATAAGGGCATTTCCAAGCCTCTCCTACCCGATTGGCTTGTCTAAAAATAATAAAAATAAATACTCTGTATAATAAAAATAAATACTCTTGCTCTATCTACTTTTTTGGCATCTTCTAAGCCAACATGTAGTTAGGTTTTTTCGAACGTTTCACATTTTGATCGGATCTTTTCGCATCTAGCATAAGAAAACGTTGTATTCTTCAATTCCTCTGGCAAGCCGCGAAGAATAACCAATTTGCAGCGATGCTTGACGGCACTGTTAATGGAGATGACGTTCGAACAAAGATACAATTCATATTAATTTTTATCCATTGGATAAAGTTTAATATAAATAGGATGCTTAAAAATATATAACCATCTTGTGAAGAATGCTTGTCTTGTTAATGAATTTCCGTTTTATTTCGATTTGTGACTATTCTAAAGGTTTTGTCAGACGGAAAAAATTCTTTCAGCTAACCGATTTAAAACTGTTGTTTTGACGTCGTTATTTAAGTTAATCGAAGATAAATTAAAAATCTATCTGATATGTAAAGCACTGAGTTTTCACTATTCATATTAATCTTGATTCCGATTTTCACGGCAATTAATGATGGAGAATCTGTTAGAATTATTAATAATTGTCGACAAAAAAGTTTAATAGTAATTTTGCGAAATGAAGTTATAGTTATTATAATCCTTAATATCCTCAATTCTGGTTTTTTTTAAGGGGTTAATGTAATATTTTTTTCGATTATTATTAAAATATTTTTATGAATTTTTATTTCAGGCCAATTAAATATGGTTAAATTTTTGTTAGAGCACGGCGCACCAGTTTCAGCTACAACGAGGGCTTCCTATACACCACTACATCAAGCTGCTCAACAAGGTCATTATAATGTTGTACGATACCTTCTTGAGCATGGCGCAAGTCCTAATGTACAAACATCGGTTACTATTTTTGGCATTCTTTTTTCTCTTAATTCATTATTTACAATTATTATTTATAATTTATTATTTATATTTAAATAATCATTTTTCCTCCAACACTACATTATCGAATTGAATTTATTTTAGACAGGTCAAACACCATTATCGATAGCTGAACGTCTTGGTTATGTATCTGTCGTTGAAGCCTTAAAAACCGTGACCGAAACTACAGTAATTACTGAAACAACTACGATTACCGAAGAAAGATATAAGCCACAAAATCCAGAAGCAATGAATGAAACAATGTTTTCAGATTCAGAAGATGAAGGTTGGTTGTTTCATTTTAATATTGACGCTTTTCAAAATTTACTTTACTGGCTTCATTTGTTTGTCAGTTTTTTGGTAAGAGTGATGTGAATTTATTCAGCATGAAATATGGATGAATATGAATATTATTTTATAGTTATTAATTTTATTACATACTTCATTTCACTCATATATAAATATTTCATACATGCAAATGGATTTGTGGATTGACAAATTATAATTTTTATGTAACATTTCTTTTTGCATGTAATTATTTTATGAAGTGATGATATTCACATGATGCATATTTAAATTTCGCTTTTTTCATATTCCTTAATTCATTGATTTTTAAAAAAGAAGAGAGAGGATATACATGAGTTCAATTTCTGTTCGTCTGATCAGAGTAAAACTTATGAAATCAAGCGGCTTGCTGCTTGTTCAACTAGCTATTTCTTTAATAATTTATTGTTTGACAAAAAAAAAGATTTCTAATTATAGAAGTTAATCGAATCGCAAGTGATGAATGCTGCTAATAAGACAAAAAAAATTAGAGTACCACTTACCACTTCTTAATTTTTAGGAATTTTTCATTATTTAGTATTTAGCGAAAAAAATTGTTTATCTTTTTATTAGTAAATTTAATAAATTGACTAGTGATTGGCACTCATCATCATCATTTGTTTAAGTATGGCTTCATCAATCTAAACAATAATATAAGCCTTAAACTATTCGGTCTTATTTGATTGTCGCATTGAATATTCTCATTAGTATTAGTATTAATATTAGTATTAGTATTAGCTATTAATTTTTATTTAATTTCAAGAATAGAAATATATATTTGGAATAAAAATTGAAGAGGAAAAAAAGTTTAAAAAAATTTGAAAAATGCGACTATAAATTATCGAATATCGTTGTCGCTGAAGAGGCGCTTACTTGCTTAATCGCATCAAAGAAGAAAGAAATTTTTCTTTGTTTTTCTTTCTCATAAAATAAGGATGATGTTTCAGCTAATGGATTTAATAATATAAATATATAATATATTTATATATACAATTCAGTGTAATATTCTTTATTGTTTATAGTAAAAGAAATTTTTTTTTCTTATTTGTTTTGTTTTTGGTTTAATGATTATTAATGGAAAATGTGAAAAAAAAAGGATTTATTATTGAATAAAAAAATGGAATTTTAGCAAAATTTTTAAGAAATATTTTGTTTTTTAATTTTATTTTTATTTCTTTGTCGTTGTTGCTGTTCTTGTGGTTAGTAGTGTTTTAGTGTATTTATTTAGCACCGGTAACGTTCGAAGATGCTTCACATTTACGAATATTAACACAATCTCCACTTCTTCGACTTTCGACTTCTGACGAACGTGAATTGAGCTTTTTCCCTAATACAACTTCAAGCCCTTATCCCTCACCTGCAGCCGAAGTTCGAACTTTTCTCCTCAAACGTATGCATTTTTCTTCTTGCTTTAACTTTCTTTTTTTTGTTTTTGCATGTTCTATTTTATTTTGAGCGTTATGTAAGCAATAATTTTTTTGAGGATAATTTTACTTCTATTTTTTTGGATTTTTAATTATTCGCAATAGTCCAATAGGCTATATAATATAGTTTGTAGATGCAAAAATTAATGCTTTTTTGGTAGTGAAATTTGTTATGCCTGAATAGGTTTTTAGGTTGATTAAATTTTCTTTTTTTTTAAATTTCGAATCTATTTTTCTATTTAAAAAGAATTCGTTTGCTGTTTTTCTTCTTAATTTTTTGGCAATGAAATTAATTAGAATTTTAATAATCGATTTAAATTCTTTTTTGGATATAAATTTGTATTTTTTTAAGTTTCTTAACTTTTATCGATTATATAAGAGAAAAAATATTAATTATTTCACAGGTGAGGAGAATAATTTAACTGCAAACGCTCATGTTCGTGATTTTTCGGAAAGTTTAACGCAGGGTTTGCATGATTCAACTGGCGTACATTTGATACATACAGCTGAACCAGTAAGCTTTTTACTTGTTTTATTTTTTTTTTGTAAGAACCGATTCTCATTCGCTGAGAAAATATCTCTTTTCGATTTTTCCAAATATGGAGCAGCAAGATGTTTTTTTCATGCTTATTCATAGTGCATATATCTACTAATATGTATTACTGATAAATTGGTCACTGATAAAAGAGGTAAACTAACCTGAAGTAAATAAATTAAAATAAATTAAAAATAGCATAAATAACATATTGTATCAAGTGATTCAGAAGAAACTGAAAACACGTCTTCAAAATTTTGATCGTTCTGTTTTTCAGTTTTCAGCGATGATGATATGATAATTTTCATTGATGATGATAGTAATTAAGAAAATTTTACATAGATATAAATAAATATAAATAAAAATATAATTTTAGATGCTATCACGTAGTCCAGAAATGGATACAACTGATGGTGATTTGGATGCTTTAATTCGTAAAGCACAAGTAATTTTTATTGATTATTTTGATGATACGACACAATAATTAAATTATAAAATGCACAGCAGACGATTTATTCCTTAAGGTTTTATTGCTCATATATTTCGATAAATTGCCAATTGAGTGATGGATTTGCTCATTTTTAGTTTTATTTGATAAGTTTTACATTACGAAATATTTTTTTAAATTCTTTTATAATCTAGATTTCAATAAAATTTCTTATAAATTCTAGCACGAACCTGTTGCAACTGCTATGGGAGATTCGACATTGGAAACGATTGTGCCAGATAACGTTCTCTTAACTCGTAGTAGCGTTCAGCCAAGGTAGCATTTTTTTATTAGTTTGCATAGTAGAAAATTTTGCTTGCAATCGAAATAGTCTAAAAGAATGATTATGTTTATTTTTTTAATATTAGAAACGATTCCACCAAATTAGTGCAATTCAATTTTAGCGAATAGTTCCAGAAATTTTATATTTGGTTTTTAACATATTTTCATAGTTAGAATTTCATAGAAGAATAATAAATGAATTAGAAGAATACTAATTATTTTTAGTTCTTTTTTAATGTGGCTTTGAATAATTTGATTAATTATCATTAATATCCCTTAAAGCTTGAAAAAGAAAAAAAATATTAAAGATTATATTAGAAAATTTGATTTAAAAAATCATTTTCGAAAATAACATTGAATCGAATTATTTTTTTCAGCAAACTTCTACATAAAACGTGAGTTCCTACAAAGATTTAACTATATGTCTATAGTTTTTCCCGTTATGCATGTTAACTGCTTTACTAATATTTTTCAGTTTTTTTTCATGTTTTTAAATTTTATTATGTTATAAAAGAGAAAAAATTATACTGGGGTAAGATTTTCATGGAAAAATTGGCTTCAAAATCGTCTAATGCATGGTTTTTTTTCTATCCAATCCTTGCTTTTTTGCTTTTAGAGAAAATTATGGTCATAGACTTTTTTAAATAATTATTTTACAAATTTCATATCATGACTATACTATGAACTATGAACTATAATTACAATGTGAAATTATAGTTTCCTCATTTCATTTATGGTCGACGCTCGTGGTGGTGCTATGCGTGGATGCCGTCATTCTGGTATAAGAATTATTGTGCCACCGAGAAAAGCTCCACAACCAACTCGTATTACATGTCGTTATTTGAGAAAGGTTGATATATCTTCTAAAATTATTAAATTTATTGAATTTCCTTTTTTTATGAGAATTCACATGAAAAATTTTTAGGATAAATTGGCACACCCCCCGCCACTTAGTGAAGGTGAAGCTTTAGCTTCACGTATTCTGGAAATGGCACCACATGGAGCGAAATTTCTTGGTCCTGTCATTTTAGAAGTGCCACATTTTGCTTCTCTTCGAGGTCGTGAGCGTGAAATAGTTATTTTGAGATCTGATGATGGTCAACACTGGAAAGAACATCAGTTAGAGGCAACCGAAGATGCTGTTCAAGAGGTTTATCAGATAAACTATTCATCCACCGTTCATTTCATTCAATAAGAAATAAATGTTGGTATTATTTTTCTTCTCTTTCAAGGTTCTTAATGAATCATTTGATACCGAAGAATTATCACAACTTGATGATTTGCAAACACCTCGCATTACGCGAATTCTAACGAATGATTTCCCAATGTATTTTGCTGTTATCACCCGTGTGCGTCAAGAAGTTCATTGTGTTGGGCCAGAAGGAGGCGTAATTTTATCTTCGGTTGTGCCTCGAGTTCAGGTTCAGTTGCATTCTTTTTTCTATGTTGAAATAAATATGATATGATTCAAAAAGGTGGTTAGTAAACGTAATATTGTTATTTCAGGCTATTTTCCCAGATGGATCGCTAACTAAAACTATTAAAGTTTCTGTACAAGCACAGCCTGTACCTCAAGAAATAGTTACTAGGCTCCATGGTAATCGTGTTGCTGTCTCGCCAATTGTCACAGTTGAACCTCGACGCAGAAAGTTTCATAAGCCTATAACGTTGTGTATACCTTTGCCACAAAGTAACCAGAAGGGTATGTTGACCCAGTACAGCGGGCAACCTGGCCAAGAACCTCCGACACTTCGTTTATTGTGCAGCATTACCGGTGGATCTGCTCCAGCACAATGGGAAGATATTACTGGAACGACACAGCTTACATTTACTGGTATTTCTTCGCCTATTTACGGTTACTGATCCGAGTAATAAGCCACCATAAATCATTATTTTAAAAATAGGATTATTGTAATAATGATTATTGATTTTTTCTCTTTTGATTTTTCTTTTATATAAATTTTTTTTTTTTTTCAGGAGAAGATGTCTCTTTTACAACCACAGTTTCTGCTCGTTTTTGGCTAATGGATTGTCAGACACCACGGGATGCAGCTCGAATGGCGCAAGAAGTCTATAATGAGGCAATCGCTGTTCCTTACATGGCTAAATTTGTTATATTTGCTCGCCGTACATTCCCAACCGAAGGACAACTAAGGTAATTTTGCTTGGAATGATATTTTCCTTTTTTCTACTTTTTAATTCAAATAATTTTTGCAGAGTATTTTGCATGACCGATGATAAAGAAGATAAAACTCTTGAAAAACAAGAGCATTTTATTGAAATCGCAAAGTCAAAGGATGTCGAAGTACTTAGCGGTCGTCATCAGTTCTTGGAGTTCTCTGGAAATATCCTTCCAGTCACAAAGAGCGGTGACCAACTATCTATATATTTCTTACCGTTCCAAGAAAATCGACTCGCCTTCTTGATTAAGGTTTCACTTTTTTTTCATTTGCATCATCAGGTAAGTTTTGATAACTTTGATAAGTTTTGATAAGTTTTGCTACAAGTTCTTTTCATTAGAAATATTTTTTAGACCCGAGCTGGAAGTGATGATGAAGCCTCTACTAATGGACTTATTTCTTTCATGAAGGAACCGAAAATTCGATCGGATAGTCTGCCACCTCAGCAACCCATTTGTACTCTTGCTATTACACTGCCTAAATTTACTGTATCTGTATGTTCTTGCACATTTTTTCTTTAGGTGCTTGAAAACTTGAGGCAAATTCAAAATCTTGGTTATTCAATTAATTTTTGCCATATTTTTGATTTTACAGGAACCGATAACCACTGCTAATGCTTCCGATAGAGTAACTTCAGTCATTACAAAATACATGAATGCTCTAAATGAAGAACGTGATCCTGATAATTTGCCCCTCACATTGATTTCGCGTCTCATTGGTCCTGACTGGCATCGATTAGCACGAGTTCTTGATATACCAGATTCTGATATTAAAAAAATTCGCCAACAACTCGTCGGAAAAGAAGCAATTTCAGTACTACGAATATGGATACATCTGAAGAAACAAGAAGCCTCTCGTAAGTTTTTGTAATAATTTATATTGTTCAGTACTTTAAGTTAGTTATTCCAGCTTCTGAATTGTTTTGTTGTAATTTTAGCAACAGCACTTAGCAGTGCATTACATCAAATTGGGCGAGATGATATAGTTCGTGAAATAAATCAAACTGAACAACCGATGGAACTAGATGGTGTAGTTTCGAGTTATTCTTCTCTTCCTTCGACATCAACTTCCACTGAGGTATCTATTTATTTATTTTCTGAACATATATTTTAGAACACATATTTTTTTTTCCTTTTTAATTTTTTCATTTAAGCCACAGAAAGCCGAATATTTATATACAACAGCGAAAGTAGGTGAACATAAATTTGTTCAAGATTCCGCAGTTGCAGCGCCTATTTTCGCTCCTTTTGAACGAGAAGAAATTGTACCATATACTATAAAAGGTGATGACTGGATTAATTTTTTGTTTTTTCTTCAAGTTTTCTTTTTCTTTCTTTAATTTTTTCTTTCGTTGGTTTTTTTTAAAATGGTAAAATATTTTTATACAAAAATATTTATATTAAATATTTACGTAACAAAAATATTTTTAGAAGAGGAAGAAGTTCCTGTGTCCGAAGTTAAAACGGTTGTACGCAAACAGCGGCATATTCATGACACAGAAAATGGTAAATTTTCCTTTTAATTTCTATAAAAATTTTCAAAATTTGGATTTCTTTCGTAATTGATATATTGTTAAACTGAATGAACTGAATGAATGAGAAATTTTTTATTTCAAGGTCCAATTGTTGAGGAGAGAACAATTACGACGACTTATGAGGATGATGTAGCAATAAATGAGGAAATAGTTGACAGAATAGTTCCATTGAATGAGGAGGAACAAGAAAAATGGGACCATATGGTTAGAGAAGCGCAGCAGGCTATGGAAGAAGTAATTGGCGTTTTTTTATTTCTTTTTATTTAATTCCATTTCCTCCTCGTCATATTTTTGTATGGTATTCATATTCAAGGAACCAGAGACAGCGGAAAAGAACGTTTTCTACAAAGAAGAAGAAGGACCGGAAGGAGTGACTGTTAAGACAAGGACAGTGACAACGAGCTATATCACCCGACAAAGTCCGGAAGAAGATGATTTGATGACTAAACCAGTCATCACTGAACTCATTGAACCAATGGAAGTAGCGGAACATTTGAATGAAGCTTCGCCTGGTTGGTTATCAAACTACTAATTCATTGATATAAAAAATATTTTCTTATTGTGGATTTTTAATTATAATTTTTAATATTTCTTTATTCGCTTAGAAAAAATCATACTAAGAAAGGAAAATTTGCATGAATGTGTTGTTTTTTCGTTATTTCAGCGCCTGGTTTTAAATGGCATAATTTTTTAGTTTTTTCTTTTATGCATCTTTTCGATGAAAATTTGAATAAAATTAATAGAAATAAACAGAAATAAGTAAATAAAAATAAAGTTGGGGATCTAGAAAAATGGTTTTTTTTTTTTTTTTTTTAAGCGCTACCACTGATGCAAAACAAATTTTTATAAGTAATTTAATAAAAATTAAAAAAATAGTAATAGTAATAAGCCATTGCAATAAATAATCATCGAATGGCAGCTTTCTTCCACTGCTTGCTTCACTCTGCTCGCAATCCATAATTTTGTTATTCAACTTTTTCGTGTTTTTTTTTTTTTTTTTTACTGCATTTTCTCGTAAATTTTTGAATTTCAACTTCAGTTTATCTATATAAATATATATTTATTTTTTTTTCTCTTATTTATTCTTTATTAGTTCACACATTTTCTTGAATAGATTTATATGTATTGAAATAATAATTCAATTTCCACTTTGTTATTTTTAAATTATAATGTATTCTATTATTCTCTTTTAATTAATAGAGAATTTTGGCAAAATTTTATTTATTATTAGAGTCAGCTGTTAAAAAATTTCCATTATTTTTTTTGCCTATCCTTTAGCATTGTTAATCGATTGCGAGACATGGAGTATTGTTGAGTATTGGAAGAGAGAGAGAAAATGGGAGAGAAAGAATGAATGTATATATTTGAAAGCTAGGAAAAAACCAGGAAAAAGCCAGCAGAAGCTAGGAAATATTAGATTAGATAAATGAAGAAAGAAGAAGTTTTTTTGAAGTGAAACGAAAGTGAATTGTTGATGATGATGATGTGTTTGTTAATAATTTTTCAGAAAAATTTGGAGAAAGAAAATGAAAAATGAAAAGGCGATGATGTTTTTGGGGGCACTCTTTATACTCTCCTACTACATGAATCGCAAAAAAAATATTAGTAAAACGAGCAATGGAAAAAAAAATTTTTTTTTTTGTCTTTTTAATAATTAGAAAATTAGAGATTTTTTTTCTTTTTTTTTTTTAGATATTGATACCACATTAATATGCTTATTTTTTGATATAAATTATAATAATTTTGTGAAATTCTCTTTTTTTTTGATAATATTGATATATATTTATTTATTAAGATATGTAAACTGCCTAGCAAATTGATTGATAAAACTTATTTTCTTTCATCTTCTTCTTAAGCTCTTTAATGCATTATATATAATATATATATTTTAAAATTGCACATATAACACATGAACAGCTGATATAAATCCACTTGCTTGCCATGTTCATCAACGAATCGGTCTCAACTTTTATCGTTCGTGGTGTTAATGCTTTAGGCATTCCTCTTATCGATGGAATTTTTAATTGTTCATGTGATCAACATGGATGGCAACAACAACAACAACAACAGCAACAACAACAACAGCAACAACAGCAAGAGCAACAGCAACAGCAACAACTCACCACAAAATCATCATTTCATCGTATCGAATCATTTAATAAATTTATCGCTGATGAACATGATATTTGGTCAAATGAATATCAGAAAATGCCATCACTATTATCATTCGATCAACAAAATGAAGATGAAATGAATTATTCTAATAATTTAGTTAATTTCACTGAAAAAACTCCTCAATCTACAACTATTGAAAATAAAATTATTGAAAATATTCTAGAAAAACGAAATGAAGAAATAATACGTAATAATGAAAATGAAGATGAAAATTTAAAAAAATTCATCGAAGTACCATTAGTAAGTAGTGATCAATTTGAACGTAAACGAACCGATTCGCTTACAGCTGCTCTATTATTAGCTGAGAACGCCCCACCTAATAAACCAATTGTACAATTTATACGTCCATCGTTTAATTCATCAACGATTATTGAAACGTGTGAAACGTGTGAAACGCGTGATACGTGTGAAAATTTCGATAATAATTCGAATTTGAATTCAAAAAATTTTTCATTAAAAAAAATTGAAATTATTTTATCAAATTTATTAATAAAATTACGTTCATTAGAAATGATCGATCCGTATCGTTACGAGACGGCGTTACGTCGTCTTGAAGAACTTGAAAATGAATTAAATATTTCCGGAATAATTAATCCATCGGATTCGAATATAACTAATACGATGGCAAAAATATTATCGTTATCAGATGCTCCTTCTTCAAATGCTTCTGATATTCAAATACGTTTAAATTCATCGACGCATACGACAACAACTAAAACAACGTATGAAACGCCAACGCCCGGTATGAAAGGTTTACCACCCGAAAATATTCAACGTCTTCAACAACAACTTTTAACGAATCTAAGTTCGAAAAAAAAAAATTATTCTTTTTTTTTTTTTACTTAATATTGATATATTTTTTAATTTTATTTTTTTTTTAAATTTTGCATGTCTTTTTTTTCCTTCTATCTCTTTATTTTTAAAATATTTTTTTTTATTTTATATAAAAAAAATATTTATTATTTTTTATATTTTATAATAAACATTTTTTTAAAATGAAAATAAAATTTAATTTTAAATAAATATTATTTTTAATCTAAAAAAAAAAAAAATTTTCATTTCAATTTAATAGATTTTTTTCATTTTTTTGCATTTTTTTTTTTTTTTAGGCTCTATTGGCCAACAGTTTTCATCTTCAACTGAAATCGATAAACAAGCGCCAAGTTTGTTAAAAATTTTTATATTTTTATTTTTTATATTTATTAAATTTATTTCAATTTTATTAAATTTATTAGATTAGAATTTCTTAATGAAGAACTTTTCGTTTAGTTGGAAAAGAATATCGAAAATAAATGAATATTGAATGATAATTTATGAAAGGATTATTCTGTTGAAATTGTTATTAAATTACTGATAAGCGATTACTGATATCGATAAGCTGTTATCAGTTTTATGAGAGAGAATAATGAGATCTAAATTTTTTTATTAGATTTACATTATTTTCATTTTTATGCTACTGCTTCGCAGTTGTTATCGATGCATTGAAGAGTTAAACAAGTTTTCAATTATAAATTCACTGGTTAAACAAAAAATAAAAAAAAAAGAGGAAAATTTTAATCATTTTTTAAAAAGCTATTTTTAAAAATAAAGTTGTTTTATTAAAAAAAATATTTTTCAAATGATTTTTTTTTAAGAATAAATATTTTTTATTTTTATTTTTTGAATTATTTTAATAAGATAATAAGTAATTTAGTTACGGATCAAAAGCATGAAAGTATGGCAGAAGGTTTCACAACTGAGGATGGTTCGACCATTGTTTCCAAAAAGATGACTCGTATCGTTACTACAACCAAAACGTCCACACCTGGTTTGTTTATCATTCATAAAATTTTCTTTCTTAAATCGTATTGATAAAAATTCTCTTCTAATTGATAAATTTTATTGATTGAAATTTTTATTAATAAATTTCTATCTAATCAATAACAATCAGTTTATCAGATTAATCGATAATTTATGAGATATATATTTTAATGTAAGGCATTTTAGCATAATTCCAAAAATTTAATACGAAATGATATGAAAAATATTAAGAAGAGTAAATCTCGAGATTCGATAGATAACAATAAACATTCTAACTAGTGTAATAATTATTAGATTGCTAGGTATCAATTTTTTTTACACTTTAAAATTTAAAATTATTAAAATAATATTATAAAATAATTAATTAATATTATTAAAATTGAAATTAACTGAAAAGCGAAATACAAAAAAAAATTTTTTCTTTTCCACAAAATTTCATTTTTCTTTAAATAAATTTTCATTTTTGAAAATAAAATCATTTTTATATTTAATTACTATTTATTAATAATAATAATTGTTTTATATAAATATATAAATTATCATTTAGGTATTATTTATTTATTATCTAATTTAATATTTATTTATTTATTTAAAATTTTTTATAATTTCTTATCATTTTATAAATTTCATATATCATAAATTTTTCTTTTGATTGATTGATTAATGATAATGATAAAAATTTGTTCATCTTTATAAAATGCTTTTGCTTAATTTTTTTTTTCTCAGCAAATTTATATAAAAGCTTTACTAATAATAATTTACTATTTACTAATAATAATAATAATTAAAACAGGCAGCAATTAGAAGCAACAGCAGCAGCATATTGCTTTATTTAACTAATTAATTATAAAATTGCAGGCGATGCAGAAACGAGTTCCGGTTAGTAGCTGATTGCTAATTTTCTTCTTATACGATTATTGCTTCAAAAAATATTTTGACATATAGTGCTTTTAAAATTTTTTTTTTCAGAATTTTTTATTTTTTTAGAAAATTTTTAAAAAAAAATTTAAAAATAAGAAGAAAAAAATTTTCTAGTAATGCATGTGCATAATATCAAATTATCACTGTCCTCGATTTTTTTTTCTCTTTTTAATTTTGGTTCTTTTTTTTTATTTTTAGAAAAACAAATTTATTTTATGATTTTAAGAGATATTTTTTAAAATTTATTAATTAATTTAATTAATTTAAAAGAGCGAGAAAGCGTTTTTTTTTTTTTTTAGCTTTAATTGCTTGAAAAATTGTTCGACGTTACGTTTTCACGACGCTTGTGTTTTTTTCATTATTTAGGCGATTTGATACGATTGAAAGTCAACGAGCAGGTCTATTCAGGAAGTGTTGATCCGACCGATCAACATATACATCTCGTACCAATTCAAAAAACTGATTGATTCACAATCTATTCATACAGCACATAACATAAAAAACCTATATTTTTTATAATGATATTATATAAACGAATTAATTTTTATTATTATTGATGCTTTTTTTTTTTATTTGCTTCCAGAAAATTGCGCTCTTCCAGGAAAGCTTCCAGAAAATCGCTTTCTGCACATCAATTTTAGATCTTTTTTTTTGCAGCCAAAAAAATTTTTTTATTTCTCTCTTTTTTTTTTTATAAGCATGATCTTATGGCACATATAGCTTTATATCAATTTTTTTAAATTTTTTTTTAATGATCAAAAATCAGAATGCTTCTTTTTTTTGATATATTTTGTGAGTGATTGTAGTTGGTCTTGTTCAGTTATTTTATTTTTCGTCATATTATCACCTTATCACCTTTTAATCAGCATATTAAGAGAAATCTTAGAACCTTAATCTTAAAACCTATCTGCTATCTCTATGATAATTTTCTTCTGATGTCATCTATTTTTATCATTTATCAATTCTGTCGTTGAAGAACAAAATGAAGAAAAAAAAAAGATATCTATTGTTAACGATGTAATTTTAAGCGCTTCATGGTAATAAATCACATCTGTTTTTCTAAAATTCTTGTCGAATTTATGGAATTTTTTTTTTTTTTTTTTCTGTACACGGCATATGTATATATTATGAAAATAATTAGAGCTCTACCACTGTTCTCCCTCTATTTGTCACCTCGTTGCACCTTAAAAAGCACCACAAAATATATTATTGAATTAAATATAATTATTATATTCACATAACTAATAACAACTAAACAATACAACTAAAAAAAGAAAAAAAAATGAATCTTCAATAAAATACATAAAAGAGGAGAAAAATAGGATTTTAGGACTTCGCTTAAAACCAACCTTACTATATACCATTTGCATAAACAAAAATGAAGAAGGCAGCCATAAGAAATATTCATGGAGATTTGCTTATTTAATAGGTGAGGGAAATATGAAATTTGATAGGTGTCGTAGATAAACTTAGAAGAAAGTGGTTCTCTCGCGAAAGGGTTTTTTTTTCATCCTATTAGTCAGTGAAATTAGCCAAATTTGGAATGGTACTTTAACTAGTCTAGTTGACTTTATTCATTCTATTATAATAATAATGTGGATAAATTATGAAAATGGACATGACATGAATGATAAGTGAATGATAACCAATTTTTTTTTTTGGAGTAATTTTTTTCTAGGCTATTATTTACGGTTATAGTATGGTTCAAAATTTGTTTTCTTTAAAATTCATATTATTCAGTAATAGAAAAAATTATTAATTGTTATCTTATCACCTAATAGAATTGAATAAGTATTATCACTTGTGATATAGTTTAGTTTCTATTAGTGGAAAATAGTAACTCGTGAATGATATGAAAAAGCTCACCGATATGATTATTTTTATAATTTGTAATTTCTCGAATAATGAATGAATAAATATAGTATTAGGCGTTAGTAAATGAAAATAGAAATTACATCATTTTTTAGATTTAAAAAAAAAATTTTAGGAAAAAAACTACAAATTTTCAATCGAAATTCAACTAAATTATTAAATATTTGCTAAAAATAAAAAAAAAAAGGAAAATTTTATCATTCACCTGCATTCCTAATAAATATCACTTATTACCTAATGATTTTGCATTTTGACAAAAAAATTTTTCATGGGAAAAAATATCGTAAAAAAATTTTAAATTTATTTATTTTAAAAGAATTATTTAAAGGAATAAAGGAAAAACTTTCAAAATTTGGCACAAAATTTACAGAAATGAAAAGAAAAAAAAACAAGAAATTACTTATTATAGATTATTTTACCACAAATGAAAAATGAAAGAAAATAATTAGTTTTTCAATAAAAATTTTCTTAAAATTTCACAAATTTCTGATTTTTAATACAAAAAATTTATAACTAAAACTTATAAAAAATCGAATCGACAAACCGATATTTAGAAAATAATGAATGGAGTATTTTTCTTATAGGGTTTTTATTATAAATTTCTCATTTTGGAATATCGATGCTATTAGGTTCCACTAGATTTCCGAGGACAATAAATTTGCCTTTTAGGAAAAAGTCGGAATGAATGAATGAATGGTAGTAGTGGATTTCTTTCGTACTTCTATTTTTCGCCAAGCAGTGGTGAACTAACTCTCTCTGAAAAAAATTTTTATCAAATTTTGATAAATAAACCAAACGAATAATCTAAACAAAAATGCTTTAAAATGCGAAATTGCTTTTTTATAATAGCAATAAATAGCAATTAAAATTGACAAATTGTAGAAAAAATTTTTAGTAAAAAAATTAGCATTAAAAAAAAAAGAAATGAAAAGAAGTCGTAGAATTTTGAATTTTCTATAAAAAAATCTCCTTTGATTATTTTTCATTTTATTTCATTCATTTTTTTAATTTGCATAATTGGCATTATTTGTCACCATAAATGCATGAATTAAGCAAGCAATGTTTTTTTAATTTTCGCTAAAAAAAAACGCTACAAAAAATTTTTATTTTTCTTTATTAGAAATTAGAAAAATTTCTTAAATGTCGCTTTAATAATTTTTTCCTCTATTTTTCGCTTATCACTAATTTATCAATAATCATCAATTCACTAATCACTAATTTAATCTAATTTAATTTAATTTAATTTGGATTAATTTTATTAAAATAATTATCAAACTGATAATTCACCATAGTTTAATAATTTTTTAAAAACATTTATTTCTCGATTTATTTTTTTTTTTTTTACATTAGAAAATTTTAATAGGGAAGAATTTTCAAATGAAAATTTGTTTTTCAATAGTTATTCCTTCGACTTACTTCTCTAAATGAAGAAATAATTTAAAGCATTTTATTATATTTATGGACAATGTGAGCTTGTCGTTTCATTTAAGTTTTTTTTATTCTCAAATAGAATAATTTTAATTAATTTCTTTAAATTTGAATTTTTGAATCTCGTAGATTTATTTATTTAGTAAAAATTTTAATTTAAAAAAGAATGAAATTTTCTTATTTACTATTTTTGTTGTTTTTCATTTAATTTTATAATTGTTTTTCATTTAATTTTAATTTTTTTTCATTTAATTTTATTTATTAATTTTGTAATTTTATTTATTATTTTAATTAAGTTTAATTTAATTAATTATTAGTAAATTGGCATTTGAAATTAATGAAATTAAATGAAAAAAAAAAGCGATTATTTGCGATATTTTATATTTTAAATAGAGAACATTTTTTTGATAAAAACTTAAGAAAGAAAAAATGATTTTAAATTGAAAAAAATTTTGTTTATACAAGATTTTAAAATTTATTTAACTCTGAATTATTTAGTTTAATTTAATTTTAAAAAAATTTTTAAACAATATTTTTTTGCAAATTTTTTTGTTTTCTAAATAGAATTTTTTTCTTTGAATTAATCTAAGAGATTTAATTTTTTTTTAAAATTTTTAAAAATTTTTCCAATTAAAAAAATTAGTTTTCAACTTAAAATCATTTGAAAATTTATTTATTTATTTATTAATAAATCATTTAAAATAATTTTAAATAAATAAATAATTTTCAGAAAATGTCGAATCAAGCATTTCAAGCGGTTCGCTTGGTTCAGTTAAAGATCGAATCGCTATATTTGAAACTAAAGCCGTTGATCGAGTGAAATCAAAAGAAGCGAGTAGTCCTGAGGGAAGTTCATCATTATCATATATAGAAACCAAGAAGGTTGGAGATATTAGAAGTGAAATTTTCATAGTACCACAGCCTTCTACAATCGAAACAGATGAAAACAAACTGCGGAAAGAATTCGAAACAGATATTCAACCAACAATACAACCAGAAAAAGGAAAAACATTTCGCGAAAAATTCACTTTATTTGAAAAAATTGGCGATATAATAAA